TTTGTTTTTTTTGTGTGTGTTTGATTATGCAGAAGAAAAGGAAAGGAAATCGAGGTGAGAGGAGAAGAAGAGAGTGCGGCAGAGAAGACGATGAAGTGGGGAGAGAGGCATGAGCAGAAGCAGTAGACGAAGAGGAGAGTTGATTTGGGGATTTAGGGCTTTTGGCCCTCTTTCTTTTTTATTTTTTTTTATTTTTTATATTATTATTGTAATAATCACATGCACACAACCCACAGGCACTATGATGCACCCTCACACACAAGCCATTAGATCTCTAACGGATCCATCACACAACCAACATCACGCGTGTCCACGATAAACTCTCAGACCTGCGCCACATCCGATCTCACGCGCCCCACTAACTGCTTTTTTTTTAACTCCTAATCTCTTCATTATCCCTTTTTATTTGTTAATCAACCCTTTTTTTTAATTAACCATCTATTTAAGCTTTGGCTCTTAATGAACATAATCATTTATTTAATATAATTAATTAACTTGTATTTCACCCTTTTGTAATCAGCTTTTTTTATAATTTAAAGCACTAATTAATCCTTTTTATTAATTAATCTATTTATCTAATAACTCAATCTTAATTTACTATTATTTTATTTCCTTCATCTAATTAACCTTTTATTAAATAATACAATTATCCTTTTAATAAAAATATTTCATTTAGTTTAGTTCAGCCTTAAAAAATAAAATTTATAACTTTTTTTATTTAACGAAAAACTCTTTTTTATTCAATTTAATATAGCATTTTATTTTATAAAAATCTTCGTAATAATATTAAAAAAAACCTTTTTTCTCTAAAACCCATCTTTATCCGGCAATTTTATCTATTTTAAAAAACATGTCATATTTAAAATAATCTTTATTTAATAAACAAATAATAACTAAAGCTATTTTATTTATATAAAAAACCTATTTCATAATTAACTTTTTCTTTATGATAATTAATAAACTTTTTTTCACTTACTACAATTTATTTTATTGAGGAAATCTTTATTTAATTAAAATTATTCTATCCAAAATCTAATCAATTCATAATCTAACTTTTTAGTAAAAACTAATAAGACAAATCCAACTATTTTCTTTTAAAATCAATTCAACCTTCCCCATCAATCTCTCGAGAATTAATTAATCCGACTAAAATTAATCAACATCGCAATTTAATCGTGCACGTTCTCGCATCGACTCCATCCACGTATTCACAACTCACTCACTTGCACACTTTAGCGCTTTCATGCGTTTATGTATGAATTTACTTATTTGCCTTTATTTTCCGCAATTTATCATTTCCGCATTTATTTTATCGCAATGCATAACGTCCAAAAGAAGAACCTGCGCATAACTTAACAATTGTGCGTATGCATCTCATTTGCATCATATTCCCCCATGATCCTTGATCTCATTCAAGTCGATCTTCTAAGTTTAGATCCTACCCCATAAGGAGGACCTTTAACTCTACAACATAGAAAAACAAATCAACTCAAACAATTATTCAAACACATTAGAGAATAAGATGTTAATCATCTTAAGCGAGATAAAACTTCTACCCCATAACAATACAATCAATTTTCCTACAAAGTTGTGGTGGTTAAATCAAGTAATCTCCCTTAAAATGACAACACATCTTTTCTCCTAAAATCAATCAATCAACTACCTTATCCTGTAGGAACTTTGACCACAGTCAAAGAACTCCTCAAACCCTTTAGGGGAACTACAGATACTCTGATTCCACTCCCGTCAGGATATGTAGGCACAAGATGCGATATCTTGTCGAGTATACTTAGAAATAAACCCCTAGGTCTTTCATCCTTAAGCAGATAATCCTTAGCAATAAAACAAACATAAAACAAGAGGTTCCTGTAGAGTACTACAGAAACTTAGGATGCTAGCACCTTCCCTAAGTTTAACCAACCCCCGAACCTAAAACTCTCTAGCTTGCATTTGCATTACATTATGGATATTTCGATCTTTTTCCCTTCCTTTGGACAAATCAAAGTTCGGTTGCAAATGAATAAGATTCAAGCTCATCAATAGTTTGGTATCCAAATTTCACCGCGACAGGGTCCACGACCACAATCACAATAAATGCAATTGCAACACCCGACATCCGCAATTTAAACCACAATTTAAAACTATAGTTTGTACTACTAAAAAGAAGTGGAAGTTATTGTTGAATAAAATTAAGTATGAGGATGTAAATGGATATCCATAGGGGCGGATAGTATGATATCCGTGTCTGTCCCGTTGGATAAATATGATATCCGTATCTGCCACATATCCATGCGGATATCAGTTAAGCGGGTAATCCACAGGTTTTAAGGTATCCGCGGATATTTACAGATATCCATGAATAACTTTTTGTCTAAATTTTTTTAAAAAAAATATATTTGTTCGCTCTCAATTTAACAACTAAACTTCATCATATTATTTTCATTTTTTTTCCACTAAAACATAATAACATTCAAACATAATATCCATACATTTCATTTTTAACAAAATAAAATTTATCATACCATATAATAATTGTTTAAATAAAACAAAAAGTAATAATGCAAATAGTTTTCATCAATCATTACAAAATTCTATATTATGCATTCCTTACTTAACATTCATACTTTGGTTTAAATTTTTTGGAAGATGTAATGACATCTATAATAAATTAAAAATATTTAAATACTTTTTATAATTTATTAACGGGTATGGATATCCGCGGGTACGAGTATCATTAAACCCGCATCCACATCCATTAAATAACGGATATTTAAATATCCATTTATTTTATCCATGAATATTCATTAAGCTATCCACATTGTATCCGTGACGGATTATATCCGCGGATACCCGTGAGTACGGACTTTTTTGCCATCCCTAATTAAGTATGTATTTAGAAACTACTTATTCATCATACAACGGAAGACGGGTGAGGTTCTCAGAGGAGTTTGGATCTGAATTTACAGGTGTAAGAAGCAAAGTTCAAGAGGTATTTACCACGTCGCAGATTTGCATTACGTGTTTGGATTTTGAATAGTATAATACCAATTCAGTTCAGCATTGAAATTATAGTGCACCGAACCACTGAATCGGTTTGGTTTGGCTCAAATGACATGATTGCAGTTTAATTTGGGTTTTTAAACTGTTTTTTATGGTTCGGTTTAATTTGGTTCATTTTTCTTTTATAACCAAACCATGAACAGTGTTGTGAGTTTTCTTCTCTCTTCTCTCTGATTCTCTACGGTTCGTAGCTCAATCAATCTCGCTTTTCCTCCTCCTTCTCCTCTTGCTCAAATTCGAGTTCTCACACACACACACTCTAAATTAGGGTTATTACTGCATAAAAAGCTTCGTTTTTTTTTTCTACTTTTGATTTTCAATTTTGATTTCTAACCTAATTTTATTAACAACGCATTGAATCTGGTTTATCATCTTTCTATTTTTTTTTCTCTTTTAATTTTAGGAACAAGATTTTCACTGTTTCTGTTGAATCGGTAGGTGAAGCTCTCTGAGGTACTCTTTCTTCTTCAACTCTTCTCTCATTTCATATTTAATTTATTATTGATATTAAAATTTATTTATGTTTGCTTTTTAAAATGATAATCATTGGTTAGCTTCAATGATATTTGGAATTTGTAAGCAATAAGCATAGTTAATTACGTAATATAGATAGCATCCAATTATCCAACAATGTATTAATTAAATAATCTATCATTAGGTGGTAAATGGGAATCAAATTATGAATTCTTCACAGTTTCGCTGCTGTAGTTGTTTTGTGTATGTGCATCATAGATGTTTGTTAGTTGAATCTTGGAAGACAGGCATAAAATGGATGGAGCCTACAATGGCTTTCTCGCATACTATGTAACCGTTTATTTCTTTTTGTTTAAAAAAATCTTCATTATCATGGGCTCAGAACTCTGCGACTGCAGCTTCTGCGCTGTGCTGCTCTCGTGAAATACACCCGAGGCACCAAGACAATGATGTGTGCTGCACCTGACGTCTGAGCCATTGAGTGTCAACTATTATTAGTTGCTAATGCCTTGTATTCTGTCATTGAGGTTGAGTGAGATGGTCTTTTGTTTCTTAGATTGCCTTGAAATTAGAGATTTCACGCAAAATCAGGAAGGGGAAGTAAAATCGTTAATTCTGGAATAACATGATTATACAAACTTCTAGAACTCGTATATATGCATATAAAATAGCATTAGTAAGACAGAAAATTTTGAATCACTTGAAATACTTGTGTAAATTTAATTCCATAACCATAGCTTACAAGTAAGATAATTAAAACGTTAAATCACACTTCGAATACCTATATAAGTTTAAATTCCTTCGTAGGCATAATCACATAAACGTTTCAAAGATCGTAAGGTTATGCAATTCAACAATTAAGAGGGGGGAATTCTACTTGATTTCACTAAAATAGGATTATGCGTATTCTCTTAATTGCTGTGGCTAAACATAATTGCAAAATGGCAGATTTTACGATTCCAATCGGGATTTTAACTATCATGGAGGTGGGAAAAGAAAACTGCAAAAATCCAAGGATGGACAGTAAACCACCCTAAATATAGTCTCCAAATGCTTTAGCTGCAGCCTATAAAAGTATATTATGTTTGATTTTTCAAATTGTTAGTTTTTGATTGATGGAATAGTTACTCATTAGCTCAACAAATTATGGTAGTTTCTCTTCGGCTAAAAGCTTGTCGATCGGATCTAGAATAAAGGATTGTTAGAGTAGTTAAGAGTTGTTAAGGAAGTTTGTTAGGTGGTTGTTAAATACTGTTGTTATTCTTAGAAAGTTCTTATATAGCCCTAAATATTGTTAGGGATATCTTTGAATAATTGAGTTATATGACTTCTATTGCAATCTTCATTCTTTTGATTACTCAATATGGTTTTGTTATGAAAATAAAGGATCCTAACACTTGTTGTATATGGACTTTCACATTTTACCATTGTTTTCAGGTTAAAGTTGCTGGCCATTACTGCATGCCATGGGAGCCAGAGGAGTAATAGCAGACAAGTGGTCTATGAGAGTTCTTTGGGCTTGTGCTATTGGAAGTGCTGTTAGTAAGTATTCTTCACATTTTCTCGATGTAATCTTTCATGAGGCCGTGTTATCAAACTAACATGTAACTTTTTTTATGTTACAAGTCTCTTTCGCATATAACAACTTTGTTGGTACTATCATATTTTTCTTATTATGGATGACTATTATACCTGTCTAGGTCTATATATGGTTGCTGTAGAAAGACAAAAACAAAATAGGCAGAAGATGTTGGCTGAAGGCTTGAGGGGAATGGAGTTGGGGGAAAGCAATGAAGATGTTTAAGCTGTGTCACACTCTTATGAATACTCTTTAGTAACATTTTAGCAGATTTTCATTCGAAAATAATAGTTACAAATGGATAGTATTTGCTTTTTTCCATTCAAATAATTAATCTGTTGACATTAGAGTCTTTCTAATATGGTTGACTCCTTGTGTAAAAGGTTTCTGTGTTCACGCCTCTCACAGACAACACCCATGTTGATCTTCTAGAAAGTTTAAAGTTTAAAATTTGAGTTTTTGGGAACCTATCTGTGACAAGAGATAGTCACAATCAATTTTGTTTCGAAATAAATCTATTCATACAAGTTTAACTTGTTTGTTTTTAATAAGGATAAAGTGTAGTTTAGATCAAGAAAATCGTTTGAAGGGGCATGAGGTAAGTTTTCTGAAGTTATTACAATGGCCAAAATACCCTCAAAATCCTTTTTGAGGGCGTCAAAGGCGAACTACCATTCAGATCTAAAATTTGTCAATGTAACTAAACAAGGTCTAAAAAATGTCTTTATGGAAAAATAGGTTGTTTTTTTTTTTTTTTTTTTTACGGTTGAACTATGATTAATTTATCAATAGCTTAAAATTACTTCAAATAACACCGGCAAAGTTAAAATAACATCAAAAGTATAAGTAAATATGAGGAGAATACACATCCCAAAAAATAAAATATGTTCAAAAGTGTAGTTTTGATCCCTTTCTATCGATCTTGATAATTTTTTTTGTCTCCGTTTAAAACAAAATCAGTTTTTTAGTTTTCTCTTATCACATTTTATGTATTTTTGGTAGTCCTTCTTCTCACATACCAGACTCATTTACAGTGTAGGCGTATCACTTATCCTTCTTCTCACATACCAGACTCATTTACAGTGTAGGCGTATCACTTATGATTTGACAGGTTCTTCTGACTGTTCACATGGACAAAGGTATTTAACCCGCTTATGCAACAACAAACTCACTCTCAGTGTTGACTATGTAATTTTGGGTTTCCTCTAGAGCATTGGAGACCAATGATCATATTCTCTGTCACCAGAAGCTTAAAGACTCCTATATGTATAGATAACAATAAGAGTTGGCATTTAACCTGCTTATGCAACAACAAACTCACTCTCGGTGTTGACTATGTAATTTTGGGTTTCCTCTAGAGCATTGGAGACCAATGATCATATTCTCTGTCACCAGAAGCTTAAAGACTCCTATATGTATAGATAACAATAAGAGTTGTTTAATTGTAACTTTGGACATTATGCTCAAATTTTGTGTCTTATCCATCATATAGGTCTTCTTGTGTTAGGCTTGGCGACATCAATGTCACGTCTTTCAAGCGTATCTGCACTATTTTTGAATTAAAACTGCGTGTATGTTCACCATCTAAAAAAACTTTTGATGTCCCATTTAGTACTCATTGGACTCACTCTTGAAAGATCTAGTCCTATTAGAAACCTTGTCAAACTAACAAGAGCAATAGAGGAGCAAAAATAATGGCAACCATCAACTAAAAAGTTCAAGCAATAATAATAATCATTCATGTAGAGCAATCATACAATTAACAAGAGCACATTTGATCACTAACAAGAGGCATACCAACAAAGCTGCTGTGGAGGATTGAGTGACAATAACAAACAACAAAAACAAGAAACAATTCTGTTAGTGTGAGATATTATATACATCTAGATACACACGCAACTAACATGCTCCTATTTTTATACAAACAAAAACAAATCAATATATGAAAGAAACAATCACTGGAAGTAACATAGTTATATAGTTACAAATAATGTTTACGAATGACTACTAGGCAATGCCAAATGAGTAGGGTGGTTTTCGCCTGCCACGATTACCAGAATGTTAGGTTCACGATCAATTTCAGTACTTGTTTCGCCTATTGACTTGTTCGGATAATGATCCATTTCAGGCCTAAGACACCGCGAACAAGCTACGGTGAGCAATGCTATTCCAATAACAATAAAAATGGGTGCAAGACCACCGTAGAGGAATGAAACCGAGGAATTCCGATTCCATTGAAACGATCCATGACCAACTGCTCCCTGATTCATATATATATATAGTTACAAAGATCCTTAGATTTTTCTTTTGTTCTTAGTAATTGATAGAGTTTTATTGCATTCTTATAGGTAGTTATGTGTCTATGTTAGTATTTGTTTAATTTTAAGAAACAAGGTTCAAAGATTTTTTTGACGTTGTTCAAAGGCTATGTACTAGTTAATTTTTAAATATATCAAATGTTACTTTATTTATAAACTTGTTCTCACAAACTTCTCAAACGACTTTGTCTGTTTTTCTTACGTGAATGTAGAAGGAAAGAAATTTGGATCATGTGATATTGGCGTTACAACGAATCCAAGAGACGTTGATTTAAGTTTCATAAAAAAACATGTTTTGACCATTTCATATGGCTCGAGAGGGGATACAAAATATTAAAGCATAGCACTAGCAAAGGGTTTGGGAACTCTAATTATTACTATTCTACATTATTCTTCCTATTAGTTCATGAAATTGGCAAGCAAATGTCAGGTTAATCCTTAAAATTAACATAAAACCCGAAAGAAATGATTGGGGATATATATATATATATATATATATATATATATATATATATATATATATATATATATATATATATATATATATATATATATATATATATATATATATATATATATATATATATATAAACGAAACATTATTTCCAAATTCAAGTTGTTGGAATTACTTGATTCACAAGTTAATGGACATAAGAAAAAAGTGATGAAATTTAGAGAGGTGCAAGATGTAATTAGGAAAGGAGAGATTTGATATTAATGATCTAAAAGACTTACAATAATATGTAAGAGTTTATATTGAGAAAAAGGTAATTGATTAACTGAATTGTATTGTGAAAGTTTATTTGTGTTGGAAGTCACTTACTTTCAATACAATTAAAATACCATTAAATCTTAATTACAATGCTAATACTTTTCGATTCAGATCAAGTAGTCTTCTCATTTTCATTGGTCTTTTGTGTCTTTCAAATCTTGATTTCTTTAAAGGTTTAATTAGAATATTTGCAACTTGTAACTCAGTCTTACAATATTCAATCTTCAATCTATCCCTGCTAACTCTGTATCGTAGAAAATGATACTTCCTTTCTATATTTTTTCTCTTTTTATGACTCATGGGATGATTAGCCAAATTAGTTATTGATTTGTTGTGTGCTAGCATCTTGATATTCATTACTTCATTAAATTCCTTCCAACAGCATTTTCGTCCATAATGTCTGGCGAGCTGCATGAAAGGCTATAACATATTATGCCTTACAAGAAGATAAATCAATTATTTCTTATTTCTTTAAGCTCTATGAAATTGGAGTTGCTCCAATCATGAACAAGTACATTTGTTGTAATTTTTATGTCATCTTGATCTCCTCTCCAATCAGAGTCAAAATAACCATAAGGATTAGTCTTTCTTCTAGTGTTCTTTTTATATGTCATGAGTATACCATGTTCTACAGTGCCTGTAATGTATCTGATGATTCTTTTAGCTGCAAGTAGATGGCATGATTTTGATTTTTCCATGAATTTGTTTATCAATCTAACATTATGGCAAATGTTAAGTCTAGTTTTACATATGCAACTTAGTGAGCTAATGATCTACTTATACAAGGTTGCATCTACAAATTTATCTTTGTGTCCTTCTTCAACTTTGTACTATTTTTAAAGAAGTAATTGCAGGGTTGCAATTGCTCATCTTAAATTTCTTCAATATTGTTTGCATATTTCTTCTAGTGCAACAAAATATCAAATTTTATGTTCACAAATTCATTCATAGGAAATAGGACTAATTTCTATGTCTGGCATGTCAAATTCATTCTTCATGTTGGCCTTGAATCTTGTCAATTCAACTTCATTTGATACTGTTACTACTAATTCATCTACATATAAGCATAAAATGATTTGGTTCTCCTCACTTCAAACTTTCACATACACTCCATGTTCAGATGTGCATTTCTTGAATCATAACTTGATGAGAAAACTTCCAAGTCTCTTGTTCCATGCTCTATGCTCTTATTTCAATCCATACAGTGCTTTTCTCAGCTTGTACGCCTTCTCTTATTCTCCTTTGATTTTCAAACCTGGTAGTTTCTTGATATAAACCTCCTCCTCTAGTGGTCCTTTGAGAAAACCCGACTTTGCATTTAATTTATGTATATTCCACCCTTTGTATGGTGAAATGAAAATCGTTATTTTTATGGTTTCAAGTCTAGAAACTAGTGGATATACCTCTTTAAAGGCAATTCCATATCTTTGAAGGAATCCATTTGCAACTAGTCTTGCCTTGTACTTGGTTATCTCAATCATTTGGCTTGAGTTTTAGCTTATATACCCATTTTATGCACACATCTCTCTTGCTTAAGTTTTTGACAAGCTCATTGGTCTGATTCTTATCAATTTACTTGATTTCATGCCAATTTTCTTATTTTAGGGATTGATTGAGGTTAGTTGGCTCAGATTCCTCCACCGTGGCTTTTTCAATCAGGTCACCATCTTCATTTATTGCTTGTTCAGGAAATCTTTCATAGTCAGTTATCCTAAATGATTAAGTTCTCTCCCTAGTTGATCTCCTCACCTCTTCTTCTTGCACAACTTCCTCTACATGATCTTCTTGTAATATTGTTCTAACATTGCTTGAGTTTGCATCATTTTGCATTGAACCATTTCAACATTTCAACATTTCAACAAATTACACCATTTTCTCTCATCAAACTACACATCTTTACTTATTACCACCTTATCCTTATTAGGTGATAATAGTTTGTATGGACCGGTTGAGTGGTAACCAATGAGGATTATTGACTGACTTCTATCATCCCACTTTCTTCTTAATTATTCAGGCACATACTTGAAAAAAAGTGGGCAATAAATTATGAAATGAGCAACACTTGGCTTCTGACATGTCTAAGCTTCATATGGTGTCTTATTCATTAACTTATTTGTTGGGTATCTATTAACGAT